CCTCTGCATCTGACCGGACTAGATGGGTGGAAATGCCAGTGTGGCGGAATAAGATTGGACCTTGTGATAGATTTATGGGTGTGGGGATAAGATCATGACCTTTCAAATGGAATCCCAGGAAGCTTTTAGATTTGGGATTCCACATTTTGTTGCCAACATGTCTGACTTATTAAATTGGAACTTTAAGAATAGCTCTGCCTTGGACTCTGATTTAATTCTGCATGATATTTGAAATGCTGTCATTATCCCAAATCTCCTTTTAAAATAAATCATCAGCACCCCGGCAAGGGGGCTGGTGAGAGGGGTGCTGATTTCCCAACGCTGACTGGGTCAGCATAAAATATCAGTGAACAATTAAGAGAAAGCTTTTTGAGATAAGAAGCTGAGATGAGACGCTTCTCTATATCTTTCCCAAGAAGCAAAGGAATTTGTGGGAGAGGAAATTTTCAGATAAATAGGAAGATGCAGCCGGATAAATAAATGTGATGGATTTATGGGTGTGAGGATAAGATCATGACCTTTCAAATGGGTGGAATCCCAGGAAGCTTTTAGATTTGGGATTCCACAGTTTGCTGCCAACATGTCTGACTTATTAAATTGGAACTTTAAGGATAGCTCTGCCTTGGACTCTGATTTTATTCTGCATGATATTTGGAACGCTGACAGAGGAACTGCCACAAAGAAGAAAGAGTCAATTTATACTCCAAACTATCAGAAGGCATAGAAGACCTCCAGGTTTCTTCCAACCAGAGGTGGGCATCACATACTGTAACAACTGGTTTGCCCAGAACTGAAAATGTGAGTGTGCAATATTGAAAAACGACGATTATATAGGACAAGATAGCACCAGGGTGGGTCGTGGGCCCAACAGCTGGTCAGAACTACAGGTTTGCCCAAACCAATCTGAATCAGCAGCAGCCCACCTCTGCTTCCAACTATTGTTCTGTTCTGTTCTGTTCTGTTCTGTTCTGTACACAAGATTGATATAAGATGTGTGTGTAATCAGAGACAGATCCCATTTAAAGCACCATGCTTAGTTCTGGCATCACACTTTAAGAAAATTCAGAAAATAGCAATGACAACAGTCAGGGATTTGAAACTAATTTGTATAAGAGATAGTGAAGAACTGGGAATGATTAGCTCTAAGAGGAATAGAGTGATATTATAGTACATGTTAAATACAGAATCACACAGAAGGTCAAGACCTATCCTCCATTCCATCATCATGATCATGATCATGATCATCATCATCATGATCATGATCATCATCATCATCATCATCATCATATAAAATATAAAATACAAGAAAAGGAAATAAGAAATTAAAGGCGGGAAAGGGAACGGGAAAAGGGGGTGTGGAATACAAGGAGGAAGAGAAAAAGAAAGAAAAGGGGGGCATTAATTTCCAACTCTTCCTAGCTCAGTACAAGATAAATACATTCCAGCCTCAACTTTTTGCTTTTGCACATTAATATATAATTAGCCATTTCTATAACACCAAATCTTTCTAATCAACAAAACCAAGATCAAAATTTCATTTTTTTTCATCTCAAGCACAAATTCCAGAACATGTAAGAACATATTTTTCATTTTAAGTAAAGTAATCAAGTTAACCATTCTGGCTTTATCTTCCTTGCTATGGAAATAACATGTATTTCTATTTGCACCTGGTAATATTTATAAACTGTCACCATTTTTATTTACAAAGTTTGTTATATTCTTTCAAATTCTTTGGCCTCAAAAGGGGTGTGTCTCTCTTTTCCTCTTTCACACTCCATTTTTACCTTCAAGGTACTAAACTTTTTAAAATAAAAAGGCACTTTTTTTCTTTTAAGTCAAAACTTTCTAATACATCTTATTCTTTAACTTTAACATACAAGCTTTAAACTTCAAAATTGCATTTAGCTCCCTTCCTCCTTATAGAATAATTATTTTTCTTTTATAAACATCCTTTTTAACATATAGTGTTTTTCTTTAAACTGATATATCATTTTCTTTTACTTTCTCTTAAGACAGTTACTTTCAAATACATTTTCAATAACTTTTGCCTACTTTAAGAGTTGCTTAAGCATTATATATATGTAAAAAAAATACATTTGCAAATTTTGGGTTAAACCTTTCTTTCAGTTGCACATATCAAGCAGAGAAAAATACATCATGATTCCAGTTTACTCCTTAAGTTAAGTCATTCCTTCCAGCTTATATTTATGGAGTAAACTCTTTTTCTTCTCTGGAAGTATCAAAGACTTGCAATCTTTTCTTTTTATCACAAGATCCTCAACCTTGTTAATGTCCTTAAAGAAAAAGTCCCAAATTTGTCTATTTTCTCTAAGCTCTTCCTGGTCAGCTTCAGCATGCTATCACAGCCCCAGCATGTGGCTCATCAGGGCTCCACTGCATTGCGCCCACCACTGGTCAACTGAACTGAGCTGCTGCTGCTGCTGCTGGGGAATATTGGAGCTGCCAAGCAGCTGATTGGCGGTTGGATTGGCCTCCCAGAATACCATTGATCAGCTGTTCTAGGTGGCAGGAATCATCACTGCTGCCGCCAATCACCACCGATCGCCACTGATCACCATTCACCATCGCTACCTATCACAGCCTCTGCCATTCGGTGACAGCAATCGGGGGGGTGGGAGTGTCAACAGCAGTTGCAGCAGAAATTCTGCTGCCTAGAACAGCTGGTCAATGGTATTCCGGGAGGCCAATCCAACTGCTGATCAGCTGCTCGGTAGGGAAGGCTCCAGTGTTCCCCAGGTGTCAAGTGGCAGGTGTGGTGACAGGCAGCAGTGGCAAATGCCTCTGCCACCCCAACTTTCCTCCCCCACCGCAATATTTGTTCTATAAGATGCACAGATTTTTCCACCCACAAAGATAATGCAAAATCCTCACTTCCACCCCATTCCAGAACAACCACCATTCCCTCACTAAACTGCTTTCCAACTCTATTCTCCTGCATGCAGGGCAACAAAAGAAGACCATGTGACTGCCAATGTTTAAAAAGATCAGATAGATCTTCCAACTTCGGGGGGGAGATCTCATGAAGTTGGAAGGTCTGACTGAACTGACTGATTAGCCTCCCAGCTGATCGGCAGTGCCAGTCCATGGCTGCCTCCCAGATGATCTGTGTGGGTCCCAGTCATGCCCCTGCAGCCTCCCTACCCTGAATGGCAACCCTGGTGGGCGGGATGGGCCCAGCCAGTGGTGGAAATAACCAGTTCGCTGAACTGCACAAAAAACTAACAAGCAGTTCGGCCGAACCAGCTGAATCCCACCACTGAAATCACGTCTTCAATCTTTATTTTTCTCAGTCAGCTTTAAAAAAAAAAAAAAATCCTCTTGGCCCGACTTCTTTATGTGGCTTGTCTTAGCAGCCTTCTTCCTTGTTTTTAAGACAAAAATAAATCCCTAAAATGGCACAAGCCTTCAAAAAGGTATAGTAAGCTGTTGCTAGAAAGGGCCTCTTTTAAATTGACAAGATAGAATAATAGTATTTGAAGATAATTAAGATAAGGAAAGCATAACTTACTGTCAGTTTCAACTTCTCTTAAATCCTAAAACAGACTGCAGTCATAAAAACTGATGGGCTATCAATCTCTTCAGTTAAAAGGCAGAAGAGCCACACTTCAGAGAGAAATCCTTCAGAGAGCTCTCCCTATGCATGTATTCAGTTATCCATGTTCCCAGGAAGACCCACTGTCCTCCATTCCATTTGATGATATAAAATAATGGACTGATTACAAATTGCAACTCAACTTTATGAGGGAAATTCCTAAGAGTAAAATTATGTCCAAGTAGTCCTTGATTTAGAATCATAATGGAATTAGTCATTATGGTTGTACATCATGTCAGTGCAAAGTGGGTTATCACAATATCGACCTGATTTTATTACTTTTTTGCAACAGTCATTAAGTGAACACCATGGTTGTTAAGGAAGCCAAAACTGGAAATAATGGCTAGTTTTCAGAAAAAAATGTCATAAATGACAACCACATGATTGCAGAATGATGCAAATGGCCATAAATGCAGTCATGCAGTCACATGACCATGAGGGAGCATGACTGTCAAACTTTGAAACTGGGCCATTAGTACTTTTTAGGGGTAACTGCCACTAGTTACTAAGTGACTAGTCAAACATTGAGGGCTCTCTGTAACCAAGTAATCAAAGAAGTGGTTAGATTCCTCTTTGCTATATACGTATGGTCTTCAAATTATGGCCACTCATTCTGCAACCATTCAAACTTGCTGCTTTGCTGAACTAGGCACTTATGATTGATCCTCAGAGTTCTAATCATCACAACATCCCTGCAATCATATGATCATAATCTGAATGCTTGATACCAAGTTTGCAAATATTGTTGCAAATGATTGTGGTGGTTAATTGATTTTAATTTCCAATGCCCCCTGCTGGCTTCTATAACTGACGTCAATAAGGAAATCAGAAGTTATGGTTACATGATGTTCTTGCTTAATGACATATGCATTTCTATCTTAATAATGATACTACTCAATAATGTTACTTAATGGTACATACTTAATAGTGATACTACCAGAATTGCCATTGCTAACCAATGTAGTTATGTCACATTGCACTTTACCACAGGAAGCTTAGGGACAATTCTATTCACAACTAGTAATCTGAGGATTATTAGTAGACTTGTATGCTCAAGCAAAAGCTAGATAATTCTTCTCTGGGATGATTTCATATGCATTCCTGCACTGAGCTGTGGATTGAACTTAATAAACTATTTCTTTTAAAGAAATTTTCTGTATTTTTTGTACTTCTTTGTGGTTTTATGATATGGCTTACCAGGAGAATCTAGTTTTAGAACACTTATAAGCCATCCTTTTCTATCCCATTATTTTAGCTATTTTTGTGTTATATTAGCTAAGAAAAATAAGCACAGAGTTTTAAATGTTACATGAAAAACTACCTTATCCTGCCCCTTCCCATTACTATCCAAGACAACTACTATCTTCACTCACTTGAATTGCTGTGAGGTTCTTCAGATGAATATTGCGAACACAAGCACAATTGTCCCAGGGAGCTATGAAAAGAGTGAGAAGATTTCATTTTAGGTTTATAGTCATTCTCTGCTATTGGAATTATACAGGTATTCCTTGACTTACAACAATTGATTTAGTAATTGTACAAAATTACAATGGCACTGAAAAAAGTGACATGACTGTTTTTCACATTTACGGCCAGTGGTGGGATTCAGCCAGTTCGCAGCAGTTTGCTAGAACTGGTAGCTAACTGTATGCTCAGTTCGGTGAACCGGCTGAAGCCTCACCCCTCCCATTCCCAGCCACTTAGGCTTACAAGTTCATATGAGCTCATTCAAACAGCAACAGATCATATATTCCCAATAGCCCTTGTTTAGCACAATTGGTACAGGTAGCTTGGTTAATAAATGAAGCAATTGCTAAGTGAAATATAATTTTACTTCAGCTCAGAAGATCATAAATGCAAGCATTGGTTGCAAAGTTACTTTTCCATCACTTTTGCAATTATAAATGGTCATTAAACAAGGTAACTATAAATGGTCATTAAACAAGTTCAATTGCCTTGTTTAATGACCATTTATAGTTGCAATGGTGATGAAAAAGTAACTGTAATGATTATTACATCTGTAATCAATCAGGAAAAGGAAGCAACTAAAATCAGGCTAAGAACAAAGTGTAAACAGAGAGTTCAATGTTAATGTAATTAATATTACTTGAATCAAATTAATTGGATTATTTCCTCCTCTGTCACAATAAAAATGGCAGTAAACATTTGGGGAACTCTGAGACCAGGGTTAAGGCTTTGTAGAATTACATTATGAATCTCTGCCTTAAATGTATGGAATTCTGAAGAAGCCCAGTTAACTGTAAGACACCCAATTAATAATTCTAAAGAAGGTAGGATGCAATAGTAAAAAAAAAACAACACCTTGAAATTATCAGCTCCATTCCTATTCTATTATTACTACTAATAGTTGGCATATACACCTGTACATACATATGTACACATATATATAGAATAGTTTTCACAGTCTTCCTACTCTCGCTGAGGCTTTTCTAATTGAAGGGCTAAACTACACTGCTAGGAAGAGCATATGTACTTACTCAGTCTTCTTCATGTTAAAATTTCCATTTTGTAGCATTATTTCAGAATGTTGTGTGCTAGTCCCACCTCTCAGACTCTCCTTCATTTCTACTCTTTTAACTGGCAAAGGAAAAGTAACATCTGGTACCATCTCTTTCTTATTCTCCAGGGAGGCTGACCGGATGAGGTCAGAAGGAACTAATACAGTCTCTGCCTGCATCTTCTTAGCAGTTGAAACGGATGTGGTTGGACTAATGTCCATAGACTGGCCATTACACAGACTGGAAAATTTGGGAATAGAAAAAATGGACAAAGTTTTAGACAAATGGTTTCCTTCAGTACTCATTTCATCGATGTGAACAAAGGTTCGAATATCAGTTCCAGAATTATCTTCTGTTGCTTCTTTCTGAGAAGCTGGAGTATGGACTTGGTCTTTAGAGGTTGTATCAAAAGTCCGAACACTTGTGGTACATTTTTCTTGGTCAAATCTCTCTTGAATATTATGTTGTGCTCCTTGTGCAGAACAAAAAGTGGGTTTATGAACAGGTAACAACATTGACAATGAGACTGGCTGTAGTTTGGCTGTTCCATGATCACGTGGGGATACAGTTCTGGGCTTAGGTACTGGCTTTCCTATAGGATGAGACTCTTTATTAAGAAGTGAATATTGGAGCTGGCTGGCTGAATCATGACCAACCTCAGAATCAGAAATAGTTTTTGCCAACATTTCTTCATTTTTTATCACAGGTTTGTCTGGAAAATATGTACATTCAGCTGAATGGGAATCTTCTGCCATATGCCCAGTTTTGTTGTCCACAAACAGATGAGTTTGCTGTACTAAATTCAGAATCCTTTTACGGTGGCCTGTAGCAGTGATGCCAAGTTTCCATAGGTCCTCCTTACAGAGAGAGGTCACATCTCTCACTAAGACATATCCATGTTGTTTGAAAGTATCTTGATAGCTTTCCAGATGAATGATGGCAAGCCAGTCTGCAATATCAGAATCCATGTGACACAAAGGATGCATGTTACTTCAGCAAGGAAGTAGACTTCTCAGTCTACAATCTATGAAACACCAAAGAAAGAGTGAAAACTTCAGAACTTAAAAATTTTCAACAGCAATGTAATCTATACTAAATCTGGTATCAGTGAAAAAAGAATAAATACACTAGGTTTTCTAGTCTGAATTCTTAGTTTCAGTTAGGCTTCAGTTGGCTAGCAAAAATAAATAGATGCTCAGTTCAAATAAAGAGTTCAAATTGCTGTTCCCTGAACTCAATATAGTTATGGCTAATATTCTGTTTATGACAAAAACACCTTATTTTAACAATAGGGACCTTCCTTTTCCAAGAAAAGAGGGCTAACTAACTATTATAGAGCACTTTCAGCCATTCAGTCTTCAGTGAATCTAAGAAAGAATCTCTTATTTTTGTACAAAACCTGAACCTATTAGGAATTTGGCATGGACGTTCTTTACAAACAGGTTGTGTTTCATCATAAATAGGTTTCTTTTATATTAAACAGATTTTAATGAAGATAACTCAGAATTTGTGTAACTATTTCTACATCTTTATCACCTGATAAACAATGACAATCCATTCTGTTGAAAAACTAAAGTTTTGTATATATTTTCTCTCGGTAGCCTCTGGGAGTTTAATGTTCACCTATTTATTTTTTATTGAATTTATGCTACACATATCTATTTATTCCAGTGGTCAATATAACTTACATCAATACAAATACAGTTTATGAGACATACAATTAATGCAACAAAAATCTAAACAAAAATTAGAATCATTAAAATAATTAACAATTTCATTCTTGGCAAAAGAAATTTGCTTTATCAACTTTCTAAATATTTTTCAAGCCTTGCAATTGTTCTCGTCATAATTATCTATGGAGTAACCCAGAAGAGATAAAATTAATTTTGTAGTTGATAGCTTGCTGGCCATTAGTCATATTTACTATCTGAACTGGCAGACAATTCAAACAATTAAAGTGTTACATTATGGAATAATAGTAACAACAAGATTTGAAGCAGGATTTTTTATTTATTTATTTAAAATATTTATATAACTACCCATTTTATACCAAATTGGGCAGCCCCCAAACAATTTTAACAATTTCTTAACCATGACATTTTATGTGGATTCTTTGTCACTTCTTTCCTGCTATTTTGGAAACCTCCATCATTTTTCTCTTTGCAAAAATATTGGATCTTGACTATACTGATATGATATATTGATAAGAAACACTTACCTTTTATCCCACTCTTCACGAATAGTCACTACAGTTGGTTATGCAAGACACGAGATGTAAGATATCCTTCAAATTCCTGTTTGGAGAACAGTTCAGATGTAAATACCTTCCCACAAATGAAGCAGCTCCTGCTACCACTTGGCTGTTGTTCCCCCTCACCCTAACTCAATTCTTCCATTTCCTCCCATTGTTCAAGAGAAGTTTCCTTCCTGTTGCTTTCTCCCACCCTGCAAACAGAAATTATTCACTTTACTGTGAATGTGGCAATGATCCTCTACATCAGAATATTTTATACATATTACATGTATATGTATACATCATTTTGAATATAAGAATTTAAATGGGAACATTGAATAATACTGATATTGAATATTTATATTGATCTATATCTTTTTTGGAACAAGAAACTCTTGTTAAGAATTGGCCCCAAATTTGTAGACTTATTTGGCTTATTTTCAAGCACTATGCCTGTACACTCCACCGCCATCAATGTTATAGCTAAGCTAGAAAAATAAAACTCATAAAGATTTATTTTAGTCCTACAAACCTTTTCATTATCCTGCCAGTTAAGATTGTTACATGTAATAGAATCTTCATATGTAAGGTCTCTAAATACATACTGAGGAAATGTCAACTTCTGATTAATGTAGATTACTAATCTATGGCAATTCAAATATGCATATACGTCCAGATACATCCCTGCTTTGGGAGGGCATTTCTCTCCATTTCTCCCCTTCGCCCATCCCTCCCCTGTGAAAGCAAGCCTCCTGGATGGGTTGCCGAATTTTGGGTCACTTCTTCTTTAAATCTTGCAGAATAAAGACACTGTTTCCTTGGCTAACCCCCCCCCCCCCCCCCCATCTATGGCGATTCTCTCAGACCTGGGGATTGTACAAATTTGCTGTTGACCAGTTTATCCTTGGCCATCACCTTTTTTGATTTATTTTTGTTTTATTATATTATTGATATTTTTATTGTGTTGGTTGTCCAGAGTTGTTTTGATAGATGGTCAGTCATAAACTGAACCAGTTACCAGTACCTGACCACACATGTAAGTGAATCATAAGCTTTCCAACAGACAGGAAGCAGCAAGTAAAGCTGGGCAGAATAAGATCAGATACCTGTACAACAATGGTGGGTTTCAAATTTTTTTAGAACCTCTTCTGTAGGTGTGGCTTGCTTTGTGGGAGTGGCTTGCTGGCCATGTGACTGGGTGGGAGTGGCTTGGAAGTCATGTGACTGGGTGGGAGTGGCTTGGCAGCCATGTGACCAGGAGGGAGTGGCTTGGCAGTCATGTGACCTGGAGGGAGTGGTCAATACGATGTCAGCATTCCCAGTCAAGATAGAAGTACAAATTAGAAAAGAAAGAGGCATTCATATATCTGAATTTAACTTCAAAGCAGTTGAAACAACTTAAATTCATTAAATAACAATGTTTGTTAAGGCTATGCACTGTTTTTGAATATAGGAATATAAAGCCCACAGCATCTACTTGGTACTTTTTAAAGCAGCGGCACCTTTTTCCTGGATTCATGAAGTATCTACTTTAAAGAGTTGTGAGTGGGTACTATATTTACAGTCTTGTATTCTCTTCAGTATTTTGTTTGGAACAGAACCCAAAGTACCATGCAGTCCTAGCATTTGTACTAAAGCTAAAGTTATTTTACAGGGCTCTGAGCACTCCTCCA